TACTTCTATATACCTGAAAGAACCCTTTTGGGTTAGTCTTCAAATCCCTTGTGACTTTAGCCTCATAATCTCTTTCTGCTTTTCTTATGTTCTTTTTTTATTTCTCGCTTTAAGTGAATAATCTATTTGGGATCATTTTTGTTTGGTCTTGATTTTTTTTTTAAAGTAGCTTTGAAGCTGATGACAGACACTGAAGTTTTCATAAGAACATTAGAAAGAAGAAGCACTGGATCAGACCTACTGGTCCAAGCTAGTCAGGTAAAACCCACTCGTGTATTTGTCTAACCAATCACTGGTAGAAAAAGGAATGTAATCATTGAAAAGGTCAGGTCTCGCTCAAATGTAACCATTCTCACTAGAAAAAGCAGTTTTCTACTGCTGCTGCCAACTTTTCTGTACTCCACTGAAGAAGCCTACTGTGCAGGCGAAACTTTTCAGAATTATGATACCTATCTGTTGTACTACTTACCTTCTCTCATTTTTATTCTATATATCTGAAGAAAACCTTTCGGGTTAGTTTTCGAATCCCTAGCAACTTTAATTTCATAGACCCATTTTGCTTTTCTTATCCCTTTTTTTAACCTCCCTCTTAATGTGAATATATTGATTAATAAGATGACCCTAACTTTTCATGCGCCTTTAGATTCTTTTCTTCTTCCCTAGAAGATGTTTGAGACTGTTAATCCATTTCGAGTCATTTCTATTCGATCTTATTTCTTTATACGGAATAAATGCTCTTTGGGCGGCATGTATAGTGTTTAAAAAGCTGTCATATTGATAGCTCTCTTCGTTATCCCAGTCCAACATAAGAACATAAGAAAGCGGGAACACTGCAGCCGGCCTACTGACCCACGCGAAGCAGGTCCATGTTACCTTCCGGCTTCGCCCAATGACCCACCTAGTCAGGTCAGTTCCACTTAAGGAAGGAGCATGGCATCAGACCTAGTAGCACAAGCTAGTCAGGTCCAACTCACACCCACCCACACCCACTCTTGTATTTATCTAACCTATTTTTAAAACAACACAACGTTTTAGCTTCTATGACGGTACTCGGGAGTTTGTTCCACTCATCCACAACTCTATTACCAAACCAGTGCTTTCCTATATCCTTCTTGAATCTGAATTTTTCCAACTTGAAACCATTGCTGCGAGTCCTCCCTTGGCTGGAAATTTTCAGCACACTATTTACATCCCCTTTATTCATTCCTGTTTTCCATTTATACACCTCGATTATATCCCCCCTAATTCTAAGCCTATCGAGAGAGCGCAGGTTCAGGTTCCTTAGGGAAGATTTCTGATACATGGGATCAACTTTGTCACCTTCCTCTGTACGTTTTCCAGTGCATTTATATCCATTCTGTAATACGGTGACCAGAACCGAGCAGCATAATCTAAATGAGGCCTAACCAAGGATATATAGAGTTGAAGAACAACCTGAGGACTTCTATTATTTATTCTTCTAGATACGAAGCCAAGGATTCTGTTAGCTTTATTGCAAGCACTAATGCACTGTTGTCTTGGTTTTAGATTACTGCTAACCAGAACTCCTAAATCCTTTTCCTGTCCAACATTTAGAACTTTGCATTTGTCTATATTAAACTGCATCTGCCACTTCTCCGATCATTGCATCAGTCTATTTAAATCATCCTACAGTGCTCTAATGTCCTCATTAGAATGAATTGGACGGCCTATTTTGATGTCATCAGCAAATTTGCTATGTTGCTATTTATTCCCTCGTCTAAGTCGTTATATAAATTGTGAACAACAACGCGCTCAACACTGACCCCTGCCGAACACCGCTTGTGACGTGCCCCCATTCTGATTTCTTTCCATTTATGCAAACATTCTCCTGCCTATTTTTCAACCATGCCTCTACCCAGGAAAAAATTTCTCCTCCTATTACATATGCCTCAAGTTTCTAAATAGCCTCTGAAAGCCTTACTTAAGTCCATATACATATATTTATTTCCATGATCTACCTCCTCAAACACCTTAGTAAAAAAATTTAGTAAATTTATAAGACAGGAACGTCCCTTTGTAAAACCGAGTTGAGATTCATTAATCAGTTTATGTCTATCAAGACGGCTACGAATTCCCTCGGCAGTTATTGATTCCATAACTTTTCCCACTATGGAGGTAAGGCTTATTGGTCTATAGTTCGAAGCTAAGGACCTGTCACCTGCCTTGTAAATAGGTATTACATTTGCCATTTTCCACTTATCAGGCACTATGCCAAAGGTATGCTAAGTTCCTCTTTGCATTCCATTAACACCCTTGCAAACAGTTCATCAGGGCCTGGGGATTTGTTAGATTTTTATTTCTCTTTTTGTCTGAGGACCACATCACTAGTTACCGCAGTCATGCATAGTTTAATATCGTCCTGTTTATATAATCTATTATTTCTGGAATTTCGCTAGTATTTTCCTGTGTAAAAACTAAAAGGAAGTAAGTATTGAAAATTTCACACATATCCTTATCACTGTCAGTGATCTGACCAGAGTTACTCTTAAGTGGGCCTATCTTGTCCCTAATCTTACTTCTGTATACCTGAAAGAACTCTTTTGGGTTAGTCTTCGAATCCCTTGCGACCTTAGCCTCATAATCTCTTTTTGCTTTTCTTATTCCTTTCTTTATTTCTCTCTTTAATTGAATATATTGATTTCTTAAATGCCCATCCCCTCTTTTGATGCGCCTATATATGCCTCTCTTTTGACCAATGAGATGTTTTAATCTATTGTTCATCCATTTGGGATAATTTTTGTTAGATCTAATTTCCCTACTCGGAACGAAAGTTGTCTGGGCAGCTAGAACTATGCTCTGAAAAGCGTCATATTGGCAACCAAGACCACCTACCTGACCTATAGTCAGGTCATCCCAATTTAGCCCACCCAGGTAATTTCTCAGTCCCACGAAATTGGCCAAGCGAAAGTCTGAGACAGAGATTTGATTACAGTTATTTAGGCAATTTCATGATTTATTGAAACTAAGTGATTTGTGATCACTTTCCCCAAGCTCATCATTAACCTCAAAATTTTTAATTGTGATTCTTTGTTGGCAAGAACCAAATCAAGCAGATTGTTTCCTCTAGTTGGTTATGTCACAACCTGTTCTGAAAAGCAATTCTGAACCGTATCAAGAAAGTCACTAGACTCAAGATTTCCTGTCACATTGTTCCAATCAATTTGTCTAAAGTTGAAGAATTGAGATGCTTATGCAACATATGGGAATCTTTATTGAAGAAACGTTTCGCCACACAGTGTCTACATCAGTCCAATACAAAGTAGAAATGAGTAAGGAGAGGAGAAGGTTAAGGTAATCAGTCCCTCAGCCTGGAATCGTTGTGTTTAGTCCATCACCCTTGTAGGAAGTGCAGCATAAGGCCAAAGAGGTGGCTTATATACTGCAGTCAGGTGAGTCGAAGCAGGAGGAGGCGGGATCACTGTGAGACCTGCCACTAGTGTAAGTAGGTCATCGTCCAAAGGATGGATAAGCGTTGAAGTCTTTGTACCAAGATCCCATGATGTTGCAGTGCCTGACAGATGTGATGCTTGGTTTTGGAAACCGACAAGTTGGAGAATTGAGACACTTATGCAACATATGGGAATTTTTATTGAAGAAACATTTCGCCACACAGTGGCTTCATCAGTTCAGTACAAAGTAGAAATGGGTATGGAGAGGAGTTTGAGGTAATCAGTCCCTCAGCCTGGAATCGATGTGTTCACTCCATCACTCTTGTAGGAAGTGCAGCATAGTGCCAGAGAGGTGGCTTATATACTGCCACGACCTACTAACACTAGTGGCAGGTTCCACTGTGATCCCGCCTCCTCCTGCTTCGACTCACCTGACATTTTCATTTCTAAATGCCTTATGAATTTCGTCCCATAACAGCTTACTACAATCCCTATCAAGGTTGGGGGGCCTGTAAATCACACCCAAAATTAATTTGTCACGACCCTCGAGAAACTGTAACCAAACAGATTCTGTGTCCTTTGTTTCTAATGTTATACCATGTCTAAGACAACAATTTAACTTATCTCTGACATACATCGCCACTCCACCACCTTTCCTATTGCCCCTATCAGTGTTGAATATTTTATAACCCTGTATGTCTCATTATAATCTGCTAAGCGAAAATCTGGGATCGTTACTAAATTATCCCTCTATCATACTTCAATGCTAAAAGTAATTGATTTGTGATCGCTTGCGCCAAGTTCGTCTATGATTTCTAAGTTACAGTCAGTATGGTCTAACTTGAGATTTTTATCACCTTCCTCAATATTTATCTTGTGGTCGCTCTGGGTTTACTCCCTTATATTCAAGCTGGGACCGATAAATATATACTCAATTCTGACATCCATGTAACTGTTAAGTCATTCATGTTATAATTATGTATAATTATATACAAGACTGGCCATGGGCCTATGTCTCTGCCTTGAGTAAGACAAAATAATGCAAGAGGAATCTCCACCTGTGTGGTCTCTTCTTATTATCAAACCTGATAATTACCAGTCATTCTGAGTCACTTTCTAGCACCTGTGGGTTCAATATCTCCCTCCCCGTGAATAAGAATAAAATAATAATTTACTGTACAAGACTGTAGTAATATCATTTTTTGAATATGATTGTTCCAACAGTACTATACATTAATTCATGTTTCCAATAAATACATAAATATTACAATTATAGATAACCCAACAATGTAAAAAAAAATTTTAATGTTTCAGTGTTTTCTTTCTTAGACTCTTTATATACCATCATGAAAATAAATCAAGATACATGATTTTGAAGCTATTGGTAAAAATTTATCAAGTAGTTTTGACAAGTAAACATTGTAATTTTTAGAAATATTTACTGGGAGTAAATTAAGCAGATTTAACCTAGAATAATCCAACGTTGTTAATCAGTTTGACTTTTTTAACCTGCATTTACTAAAGGGATCAGTGTGTTTTTTATAATTTATAAGACTGAAAACATTAATTTATAATTATGGTTACTTTCAGAAATCTTCTACGTGCATTTTATGGAACTACGGGTCGTAAGCCTGAAAAGATTGTCATGTATCGTGATGGTGTGAGCGAGTCTGAGTTTCAAAAAGTGCTGTCTGAAGAACTTATTGCCATGCGCCAAGCCTGCACTGCACTGGAGGAAAATTACACACCAGCAATGACATTTGTTGTGGTTCAGAAGAGACATCATACAAGGTAAAAAGGGATACACTTTTGTTTCGGCTACTTACTTAGTACTTGTAAGCTTAATTTCTACTCCCTGGAAAGCAGGCAAGAAAGATACATAATAATATACACTTTATACACTTGATAAATCATAGCGGGACTAGTCCCAATCTGCACAAGAAAATCATTCCCTACGAAAGCAAAGCACTCGTCATGAAATGCAACAACTCCCCATTGAAAAGCAGGGGCGCCATGAGTACCCTAAGAGAAAACACAGTAAGTATCAGGGGCCTAAGACTGTTCAACTGCTTCCCAGCATGCGTAAGTAGGATTACCAGTAAATCCCTGGCTGTCTTCAAGAAGGCGCTGAACAGGCACCTAAAGTCAGTACCTGAGGAGCCCGGCTGTGGTTCACCAGGCCCTGATCCACCGCGAGGCCTGGTCATGGACCGGGCTGCGGGGACGCTGACCCTCAAAACCCCCTCCAGGTATTAGAAGTTAATGATATAATTTTTATAAATAACGTAATAGTAAGCCCGAGCACTTCTGGTAGGGTTGTAGGTTCTGTCTTTCAGTCTCATGAACCTGCAATATGGCAGGTAAATCGTTTCTATCCAGCTCATTTCTTAAAAAAATTTTAATCTAGATATATTTTCCTTCCATGATCTGTTCTGAAACTAAATCATGGAGTCATGTGGGGAGGGGGGAGAGGAGGTGATAATCCCCAAGACCATTGAAAAATATAGCAAATCTTGGTATTTAGGTTAAGCTTTAAAGAATAAAGTTGGCAGTAGGTGTCCTGTGGCTTCAGGCAACACTCTCGCCTCACACTCACTGAATGTTCATGGTTCAATCCCTGTCATGGTGGAAACCTTGGGCATGTTTACTTACGTCTTCTGTCCCTGTTCACCTAGCGGTAAGTAGGTACCTGGATGTTAGTCGACTGGTGTGGGTCGCATCCTGAGGGTAAGATTATTATAATCAAAACTAAGTGCTAAACCCACCAGGGTTACATAGCGCTGCAGGGTAGGATATATGAAATGAGTTAAAAGCTAGATCTATAACTAGCTAGGGTGGGGAGTATAACAAAGGTACATATTTGTGGGCGGTGAGGAGCGCTATGGGAAGTACAGTCAAAGGTTGTGTAATAAATCTGATGTTGTCAAAAAGTCAAAGGAATCTGTGTCAAAGGTGAGGCCGTCAGCAAGGAGGGAAGATAAAGGAAGGTAAATTCTGCGTGCTCGTTGATAGACTAGACAATCCAATAAAATATGGCAAACTGAAATTGGAACTTGACAATTCACACAGAGTGGAACTGGATGCCTCTCCATGAGATACCCCTGAGTGAGACATGTGTGTCCAATGTGAAGACGGTCAAGTGTAGTTTCCCAGCCATGACATTGGTGATAAGACCAGGATCCTAAACTCGGCCTGATAAATGTAATTTGTCATGAATCAGCTTAGACCACCGCTGTTGTTAACGGCTGCAAAGGTGGATAATGATTAAAAGAAAAGAGTCTGACAATGGAATACCTCAGTAGGAAACTAGAAGGTCATGTACCGCTGACTGCGCAGTAGAGTCAGCCCGCTCGTTGCCCTGAACATCAACATATCCAGGGTCCCAGCTGAAAACAATTTCTTTGTTTTTGCTAGAAATGTAGTGCAACCAAAGCTGTATACGAAGAACCAGGAGATGAGACGAATTAATTTTTTGATAGCTTGCAAAGCACTAAAGGAGTTTGAGACTACCACAAATGTTGAGGTAAGCATGGATGCAGTACATATAATGGCAATGAGAACTGCATACAGTTCAGCTGTAAAAATGCTAGCTGAGACTAATAAGTGACCTAGCATAATACTATCCAGGAAATTTGTTGTAAACCCGACACTGTCAGAGGATTTAGAACCATCAATGTTAACTACAAGGACATGAGAATGAGACCGAAAGTGGTTAAGAAAAAGGGAGCGAGAAGCAACTAGAGATATTTGAGCTTTCGCGCACGGCAGTGGGGAAGAACAGACAGAAAACTGTCGGAACCACCCAAAGGAGAAGAGAAAAGTTAGATGCTAGGTGAACATATAAAGGGGGCAACTGAAGAGAAGTCAAGATCAAGTGAAGGCAACGAGATATGCGATGGAGTAAACATGGACAGCGAAGAAATAATGGACCTCTACTAACGTCCGTTACTATCCTGTATGTAGAAAGATCGTGAAGGTCATGAGAGCGGACAAATTAACGAAGGCAATGGGCATCATGGCGATCGTTCAAAGATAGAACATTCTCCTCCTCATATAGCCTCTCGACAGGTGAAGAAGGAAAAGCACCTAGACATAAATGTTATCCCTGATAATGGATAGGATCCAGTTTTTAAAGAATTGTGGGAGAGGCCGCGGAATATATCTGGTTGCCATAGTCTAGTTTCGATAAAAATAGGGAGAATGCAGTTGAAGGAGAGTTCGACGATCCACCCCATGAAAAATGAGCGAGAGTTTTAAGGAGGTTCAGCTGACTATGGCAAGTTGCCTTCAGGGAGGTAATGTGAGGCTTCTAGGACAGCCGGCGATCAAACAGAAGACCGAGAAATCTGACAATATCTCGTTCAGGGATACCTGAGCCATTCAGGTTTATTGGATTATCAAGGACAACAAAATGTCTGGTGAAAGTAATTTGCTGTGTTATAGCACTAGAATATTTAAACCCAAGAATAGTCGCCTAGTGGAAAACACGGTTGACAGCATTCTAGAGCGAGGGTGATACTAAAGGCCAGTCAGGTGTCTGCATAAGCTATATATAGCAAAGTCATCGACATAAAAGCGATGACCAAATATTAGAAGGAGAACAGAGGCCAGATCAAGTAGAAAATGAGTGGTGCTAAGAAACATCCCTGAGAGCCACCCTCAACTTGAATAAAGCCCAGGGAAAGCAAGTTATTAACCTGAACACGGAAATGTTTCTCAGCTAAGAAGTTTTTAAGGAAAAACGGCAGATTGCCCCGGTGCAATAACTGAGTTGTTACTAGCAAAGGCACTGTGAACGTATGTATCTAATCGGAGTAAGGGGTCAATAGTAGAAAGGCTCTTACGAAAGCAAAATTGACTAGTGGAGAGACTATTGTGTGTCCCTAAATACAACATTAATTAAACATCTGTTTATTAAACGTTCCATCACCTTACAAACTTCACTCGTATGAACAATGAGACGATAGTACCTGATTTACGAGAAGGCAGAACAACAGCAGATTTCCACAACTAGGGAAGAACTCCTTGCGACCAAATAAGATTAAAAAGATGTAAGAGAAATGCAGGGGCTGAAGGATGTAAATGTGAAGCATGCGAATGTGAATGCCATCAGGCCCAGCTGCCGATGATTGGCAAGTGGAAAATTTTGATTCTAGTTCTAAAAGTGTAGAAGGCTAGAAGAAAAGTCTAATGGCAGTAACTCTCTGGCAGACAGCTCAGCTCTTGAGGACAAACAAGAAGGTTCTTCACTAAAAACAGTCTGACGCGAACCAATGGCCCAATTCGCCAGTTCAAACTGGCCACGTGGGCTTCAGGACAGTCAAGGATTTGAATGCGAAGCAAGTTGGATAGGAAAATGATCGCTGTCATGTAGATCAGAGAGTACAGACCAGATAAAGTTAAGTGCAGTTGAAGAGGAGCAAATTGAGAAATTTATGAAAGAGAGTGTTTGAGTGCGTGTCAAAATGAGTGGGAGTACCCATATAGAGTGTGAAGAACGTTTGGGAGATGAAGAAGATTTTGACTCACATGAAGATGTTGACTTTGGAAAAGGGATATGTGGCAGCGATTTAGACTGGAAGGAGCACGTAGACGTTGAAACATGCAACTAGAAAGGTGAAGAGGTAGGGACCAGTAAGAGATGATGAGGTTGGAACATCAGAGTCCAGGACCGTAAAAGGGATGGACACAAAGGCGACTGTGGAAGAGACACAGAAGCAATTGTGACAGCAAGCACTACCGAGTTCTGGGGCCGTCTAGCAACACTGGAATATGAGAGCCGTGGGAATTTCCCGTGGAGGTGGAGATGGAAGACTGCCATGGTGTAAAAGAAACCATCTTTTTCTTTGAAATAACGGATCTCTTTTTCCCCTTAGGAAAATTGGGCAACGTTGAGAATAGGTAGGGTGCGCCTCTTTGCAGTTCAGGAAAGATGGTTCACTGCACTAGAGACAGGGCATTCTGCCAATGACTTGGAGTATTTTGTCGGGTGGCTGAAACACCAGCAATGTCTACATTGTTATGGGGCAGGGATCTCTTCCTACACTTGTAGGTATTGTCCCGCTATGTATATGGATGCTGGTAGTTCATGACTGTCAAAAGTTAGTTTTGCTGTATTGCACGGATCTGGAGATTCTGGAGCTTGAGTTGCTCCAGAATGTCATCATTACATGCGAGAAAGTCACTTTGTATAATCGTACGTGGAGAGACAATAGATCCACAGCAGAATTAAGGAAGATATATTTGCAAATTGGAACTGCTGTGTTGTTAACAATTTCAAGAAGTGAAAGGTTATGTGCCTGCTCTGCATTTTATACCTTGACTACTCGTATGCCACTCTTAAGAGCATGGAAGGAAATGTTCTGGAGTCCCTTGCTGATGTTATGGTCGTAGCGTTGAGATTTTTGTCCAAGGATTTTGAAACGGAGTGTAAGGGGAGGGATTGCTTATTTGTGCGTTTCTTATTAGTGTGAGAGGAAACTTAAGTAGGTTTGTCAATGACAGGTTGAGGTCGTTCGGATGGGGGTTTAGAGGTAGGCCGTCCGGAGTTATGAGTACAACCCGATCATAAAATCGACGCACTGTATGTGGAGAAGTCGGGATCATAGTCAAAGCCATACAAAGGTCAGAGGTATCCAAAGGGTCGGTCAAAACCGCAGTACCTAGGGTGGGTAACAAAACATTACCCGAAGAAGGTACAAGGCTGGAAGAGAGGTCTGAAGGCATGCCAGTGTCTGTAAAGGGTGCTGCAGGAAAGGGTCTGGAAAGAGGAGGGAGGTCATTGTAATGGG